GAGAGTTTTGCAAGCTCTGATGGGATTTCTCCAGACAATCGGTTTTGAGATAGATCCAATGACTGTAGATTGGTCAAGTTCTCCAAAGATGGTGAGATGTGGCCTGCAAAAGCGTTGTTTGACATGTTGAGCACAATCAGTTCCTTGAGTAAACTGATGGATTCAGGAATATTTCCTTGGAGCTTGTTTCCAGAGACATCAATAGTTTTGTAGATTGTGAAACCACTACCAACCAGCTCCATCACTAATCCTTTTGCCGTCATAGACACTGAGTTGTATAAGTTTCCTGAATCACGCCCCTCAAACCTACTCGGCATGATATCTACATTGTCTGTGAACAATGACATTGCAGTCCAACTAGCAAAGTAGTATGATGGCAAGACTCCAGTGAAGCCATTTTTCGAAATGTCAAATATTCTCAATTTGGGAAAACTCAAAGAATCTTCTCCAGGAGAAGATATTGGCCCATGGAACTTGTTTGAACGTAGGACAAGAACTTGTAGATTGGTAAGAAATCTCACCCAGAATGGAAACGTGTCATTAAACATGTTGTTTTCCACATTCAGAAACTCGAGACGGGTGCAGTTGATCAGAGACTTGGGAAGCACTCCTGATAAGCGGTTGTCACCAACATCAAGTGATTTCAAGTGATCACCGATAGATTCCTCCGGAAAAGTACCATATAAACTGTTGTTCCGAAGATGCATGACTGAAAGCTTAGTACTGAAATTCTCAAAACACCGGGGAATAGAGCCATTGAAGCTGTTATCAGATAAAACAAGTGTATCAAGAGAAGTCAACTTGCATATTGTCTTAGGGATCTCTCCTGAAAACTGATTATTGGAGCCTAAAAAGAACTTTGTAGAGTTTGGTAACAGAGGAAATGGATCTTTGAATAGGTTTGAACTTATATCAAGAAGTAGTATCTCACTTCGTTGAATGACATCCGCTGATCCTTCAAAACCAGTGAAGGAATTTTGAGAAATGTTTACATACTGCAGAAATGGGAGTGTCCATAACCACTCTGGTACTTGACCTTTAATTTGATTGGCAGAAATGTCTAAATATGACAAACTCGTTTGTTTTTCTAGAAATTTGGGAAACTCAGCAATATTGCAAGATGATAAAGTCAAGATTTCTATGGGTGAGAGAAGGTGGAGAGTTGGACTGACCTTCAAATTGATCCCTGAAAGATCCAGATAACCAAGTGACATGAGATCTGAGAAAAGACTCAAGTCAACTATGCTTCTTGTATTTATATAAGAGAGGTCAAGAAACGTAAGTGACTTGAGGTGCAAGAAGATGCTGAAATCAACTTTTCTTTTCTCTGTGTTCCATAAAGCGAGGTCAAGATACCAGAGCCCAACCAGCTTTGATATAAGTCTTGGGATTGGTCCATTGAAATTGTTTTCTCCAAGTGATAAGAAACCAAGTGTAGATAGTGAAGAGATATTCCCAATCTCAAGAGGACCACTGAAACTGTTTCTTCCCATGTAAAGTTGAATCAATGAAGGAATCATGAAGAGAGATGATGGGATAGATCCGTGAAACGAATTTTCATTTATATCAAAGTAGACCAGTTTGGAGAGACTACTCATGTTAGATGGGAGCATACCTTCGAACTGGTTAGAACCAAGGTCGATCTGAGTGAGCTCGCTCATATTCAGTAGCACATGAGGAAAGTTCCCAGTGATCTTGTTATTGTCAAGTCCCAAATCTGTTAGTTTCTTCAGGTTGCCCAATGAATCAGGTACTTTTCCGATGAAATCGTTATGAGAAAGATCAAGATTAGTGAGATAAGAAAGATTCCCTAGTGAGGAAGGAATCTTTCCATAGAAACTGCAACCACTAAGACTTAAGACCCTCAAATGTTTGAGGTTGCTGATGGAATCAGGGAGAATACCTGAAAGATTATTGGAGCCAAGATTCATAATATGAAGATGTCGTAGTCTGAACAGGCTACTATTAGATCTCAAAGGGCCGTTGAGAGAACTGTCCGTGAGGTCTAACTCAACGACTTTGCCCGTCTTAGGATCACAAGAGATACCATCCCAAGCACAGCAATCAATGTTGTTACTCCATCTCTCTGTCTTCTTATCAACTGGCGTACCATCATCAGAGTGGAACCCATCAGTATAAAACTCGCTCTTGAACTCCCAAAGAGCATCTTTCTGGTCTGGACGGCACAAGTGCTTAGCATGAGAAGAAAAAAAAAGAGAGAAGAGTAAACACAAACTCCATATTACACAAGAATGCATCATAAAATTCTATTTGTTCTTTCTTTTGTTTTTCTTTTCTGTGAAACATGGAAGATCCAAGACTATATTGCTGCCCAGCAAGATAAGATAGTTCCACAAAGTAAGATTATTAATTTCCATATGAATGCTCCACGAAGTAGTCTCCACTTGGAAAAGGTACCACTGAGAAAAAGTATGGTAGCACTAAGGAAAAGTAACAATAAGAAATTGCTCAAAAGATATATGTAGTCAGAAGATTTTCTTCGAAGCCGCCAGTGTTCCGTAATATGTTCCTGGAAAATCCAAAAAAAGGTGAAGTCACAATAGACTTTAACTACTTGAACAGAGTCAAACGTCATACAGTAGTTTCATCAGTTCTGCATACACACTCCTTTCGGCCAAACAATTAACATGCGCATGCTCACTTTATAAAATAAAGATAAAGAACAAACACGTGCCTATGAATTACTATTTTTCCTTTCTTGATTTGTGGCCAATTTCTCTACTTATAAAACCTTTCGATCTTCTAAAGTAAAATCAAAGCATAACTTAACCATTAAAAAGTTTTCTATGTTTTGCAGTTAGAATCTATGTCACTTTGTGCTAAGCTTCTCCACATTTAATAATGTCACCTTTTAAATTTTGTATTGGGAAAACTAGTGAACCTCTCCCGAATATGAGATCCTATTATCTATCCACGATATTGAATCTCTTTTACCATAACTCGAGCTTGATTCATGCTTCCACTACAACAACGCATGAATTCAATTCTTCGTTGCCACTACATCAAGAACCTAGTAATGGTAGCCAAGCCAGCACATGACTAAGGGGCAACATGTATGAATATTTTCATCAGAATTTCCCAAAAGCATTACAGAGGATATTAATCAAAGCTTACTGGTTAGTATTCCAGCCCCACCTCCAGGTTCATCATATAAATATCCGTGCCCTACTTCACCTGACAGTAAGAAGCAAAACTAGTTAAACAAAATCAGAATCTGCTTGGGCACCACTTACAATTACAACAGCCTTCTTGAGACCTTTTTTCTTGATGATGAAGCTAGAAGCGATCAGTATACTCAGAGACAGCTAAAACGTATATTATCATGTGGCATAATCCTGCGTCTTGATATTTATTGTTTGCTTTTACACAAACAAGAACTTAAGATGATTCAGATTGTTATGATGAAAATCGAGGAGGTAATTGCTCCATTTATAACTGGTTTATGCTATAACTATACCTTTTTTTTTTTTCCTACATACTTTGCAAAACAAATTATTTATAAGAAAACTTACAAGTTATATAGATGTCGATACATCAAGTAACTAGTGCTTAATTATGTAAAACAGTGAAAGATCCTCATGAACCAGTCATATTTATACGAATACAGGATGTGGCCAATGGTGAGTCCACCTAGCACACCAAGTACGTAGCCTATTGCAGCTGCAATATTACTTGATCTTTTTCTTCCATTTCTTCATCTTCCTCGTGCTTAGTTGCTTCTTCCTCTTTTCCTCCACAGGTTTCTTCGAGAGGAAACCCACAGAGCCCAAGATTCCCTACGAATGAAGAACTATTCTGGCTTTGAATCTGAGTGCCCTGTGGAATTGGACCTTCAAGCATGTTGTATGAGAAGTTCATCCGTGCAAGAAACGTTAGCTTCCCAAGCCCTGGTGGAATTTCACCATATAATTGGTTTTGAGATAGATCCAGTGATTCGAGATTGGTCAACCTCGCCAGCGATGATGGAATGCCGCCAGTGAAAACGTTATTAGACATGTTGAGCACAATGAGTTCTTTGAGTAAGCCGATGGATTTGGGAATATCTCCTTGGAATCTGTTTCCAGAGACATCAATGCTTTTGTAGATCTTGAAACCGCTCCCAACCAGCTCCATGTTTAAACCTTTGTTTGTCAGAGCCACCGACCTATGATAGAAACCAGAGCCACGTCCCAATATCCTGACCGGTGTACTATCTAAAATACCTACATCCGACGACAAGGCACTCCAACGCGAAAAGTAATCTGATGGCAAGACTCCAGTGAATAGATTTCTTGAAATGTCAAATATTCTCAGATTGGGAAAACTTAAAGAATCTTCTCCAGGAGAAGATATTGACCCGTGGAACTGGTTAGAACGAAGGACAAGAATTTGTAGATTGGGTAATAATCTCAACCAGAATGGAAACTTGTCACTAAACATGTTGTCTTCCACGTTAAGAAACTCGAGTCGAGCGCATTTGGTTAAAGACTTTGGAAGTTGTCCAGATAATTTGTTGTGACCAACATCAAGTGATCGCAAATGATTACCTATAGACTCCTCTGGAAAGACACCAGAGAGACTATTGTTCCGAAGATTCAGGACGGAAAGAGTAGAGTTAAAACTCTCAAAACACAGAGGGATAGAACCATTGAAATTGTTGTTGGAGAGAACAAGTGTATCAAGAGAAACCAATTTGCATATCTCACTAGATATCTCCCCCGAAAACTGATTATCAGAGCATGAGAAGTGCATCAGAGACGTTGGCAACAAAGGAAACGGGTTTTGGAATGTGTTTGCACTTATATATATCAAGCATTACTTTTGCACTTTTTTGAATAACATCTTCTGATCCTTCAAAACCATTGAAGGAATTCTGAGAAATGTTTACATACCACAACACAGGCAGCTTCCATAGCCACTCTGGTACTTGGCCTTCAATTTGATTAGCGGATATGTCTAAGTAAATCAATCTGGTTTGAGTTTGTATAAACTTGGGAATCTCAGCAATACTGCATGACGATAAAGCCAAGAATTTTATGGGCGAGGGAAGACTGAGAGTTGGATCGATCTTCAAATTAATCCCCGAAAGATCTAGGTCACCAAGTGACGTGAGATGTGAGATACGACTCAAGTCAACCATAGTTTTCGTATTCATATTAGAGAGGTGAAGTAACTTAAGTGACTTGAGATGCAAGAAAATGCTGAAATCCACTTTTCCCCTCCTTGTGTTCCAGAAAGAGAGGTCAAGAGACACGAGGCTGACTAGTTTTGATAAGGATCTCGGAACTGGACCATTGAAATTGTTTTCTCCAAGATATAAAACACGAAGTTTAGATGGTGAGGAGATGTTCCCGATCTCAAGAGGACCGGTGAAGTCGTTTCTCCCCAAATCAAGATCAACCAACGTAGGGATCATGAAGAGAGACGATGGAATCGAACCGGAAAATGAGTTTTCGGGAATCTCAAAATAAATCAGTTTGGAGAGGCTACTCATGTTAGATGGGAGCATACCTTCGAACTTGTTAGAACGAAGGTCGATCCAAGTGAACTCACTCAAATTGAGTAGTGCAGAAGGAAAGTTCCCACTGATATTGGCGAGACGCAACTCTGTTAGTAGGTTCAGGTATCCCACCGAACCCGGTAGTCCGCCATTGAAATCATTAACCGAGAGATCAAGATCAGTGAGATAAGAAAGATTTCCAAGTGAAGAAGGAATTTTTCCAAATAGATTGCAACTGTAAAGTGTCAAAATCCTTAGGTGTTTGAGATTGCTGATGGAATCGGGTAGAATACCTGTAAGATTATTCAAGCCAAGATCCAGGCTTTGAAGATGTTGTAAGCTGAACAGACTACTATTTGATCTCAAAGGGCCATTGAGAAAACTGTCTTGGAGGTCTAACTCAACAACATTGCCCGTCTTAGGATCACAGGATATGCCTTTCCAAGAACAACAATCAGTGTTGTTCTTCACCTCTCCGTCTTCCCAGCCACCCCATTGTAATGGAACTCGCTCTTAAACTCCAAAAGAACATCCTTCTGGTCTGGACGACACAAGTGTCTAGAAGGAGAAGCAATAACAAGTATTGAATTAAAAAGAGAAAGGATTAAACACAGGCTCCATATCATCATTTTCCCCTCAGTACAAGAAGGCATTGGAGTTTTTATGTGTGTGTTTCTTTCTATATCTCATTGGATTGGCTCTTACATATATTGGAGAATCTAAAGATTTTACCAAGTCTTCCTGTGAAGACTAATTGCTACCACATAGATAACGATGTCAGTAAGTCCGCTTGTGAAGACAAATTGCATCGTGTTTTTTTTCATTTCTTTTGATTTTCTCGTTGAATTGTGAAAAGGTAACGTTGGTGACCTTAGATCCTTGGAATGTCTTTTACAATTATGGTGGAAATGTAAAGCTTGGCTTAACAAAGTCTTCTGAGAAGACCAACCGATAAATGGTCCACAAAGCATTAGAAATTAAACAGTCAATGTTTGGTGATTTTACCTTACAGATCATTCAAAGCCACAAACGCTATTTCTCGTTGCTCTGTAGACTGACTTATTGGGTCGCCGCAAGAAAGTGACAATTTAATATCTTCAATTGCCGTTACCTACAAGACTGCTCATAGTCATTATATTTTTTTTTCTTTTAAATTTTTACACAGTTTTGCTTTTTTACGTACAAACTCTGCAACTCGTAAGAAAGCTAAACATTGTTAAATCAAGGATAAATGATATAGAATACAACCCTCGTCAACTATATTATTGTATATTTAAAAATTACATCTATATAATTTAATTTTAAATCCAAAATACTACATAAAAATTCTCTAGGATAGTCTCTTTTAGTTTATTTTCAAAAAAATAACATTCAAGATAGAAAATAACCAAAAGACATTTTTATTGAATGATAAATATACTTTATGCCCTTACGATTAAGTAACCCTAAATCTTTTTGTTTAGAGTTAAGGATGAGATTTTGAGGGTGGAGTTTAAAATATTCAAAAATATAAATATAAATATTAATTTAAAATAAGATTTTTAAAAATAGTTTCAAAATATTTTTCGAATTTCAAGAAGAAAATTTTAAAAAAATTTGAGAAGTTTTTTTTTTATAAAAAATGCGAATCTGAAAACATATAATCCCAAAATATACAATTGTATATATATTCAATTTTATATTTATTTATTTATTATTTATATATTTATAAAGTAAAGGACATAAAAGTGTTTTGTCTGTTCAATGGAACTCTTTTTGGTTATTTTGTCTATTAAAAATTATTTTTGTGACAAAAATCTAAAAATGTGCTATTTGAGATAATTATCCAATACTAAATCTTACATTCAATCTCTAACACCAACGATAAAATTGTAACATCCATATACGAACTGTTGTAACACAGTTAGAACAAGAACTGGAACTGAATCATTGTTCTCAAGAAGGATGTTGGAACATGTGATGGAGCACATACTTGTATGAAATCTAGAGTTGCTGATACCGTAAGAATTGATTTAGCTATACTATTAAAAGGGAATCAGTCTTACAAAATCTACTTTTATAAGGTTACTGCACTTATTTATTTTTATTTTTTATTTTTTTTTGTAACCGGTTACTGCACTTAATCATTAATAGTAAAATGATCATTTAATTAATAAATATATTGGTCTATCTATTATTTTTCCTATTATATATCTTACCATATATTACTCTATCCATAATTTATTCTCTTTCAGTCTATATAATATCACAATATTTTATTATAGATATATAAAATCATGCGTATTTAATATACAGACATATCAATATATATGTAAAATCAAACTTTTTTTTATATACGGACTTATATATTAATGTTTCATAGTGTACCTATATAAAGTCACACATGTTTTAACATACGTACATGTCAAATTAAAAAGAGACATGTATATATGTTAATGACGTAGAACACTATAAACTGACATAAACCATGATAGTATTATTGAGCTAGAATATTATAACACTGACCCAAATAAACCACTTTATTCATCCTAAAATCTATACCACCTTATTTATACCATCTTTTTCATCTCAAAATCTAATATTCAAGCTGTCTCTACCACATTCTTGAAGCTTTCTATCATAACCTTATAACATATTAGTTGCACTATTATATATTCTATCCTCCAATATCCATCGATATCAGTATATTAGTAATTCATTCTTACCATAATGTCAAGGTTTTGATGAAGCTAAAGCATCAGACTCGATTTATTACCTTCGTCAATACATCATCTGAAAAACAAAGCAAACCGGAACAAACCATTTTACTATATACTTGGTATGATCCAAACAATCTTATAACATTGGGATAGCTAAATATTTGACTAAAAACAAAATTTAAACTGGTCGATGTTATTGCCTAAATCTTTATCAAATATTTAAAAAATCAATTTAAATGTATTGGCCAAATCTTTTAGTTACCAATATATTTTAGATACGAAAGTTAATAAAAAGAATTCCAAAATATGTATATTTCTTTATTTACAAGTTTTATTTAATATCACAATTAGTTATTAATTTTCTTATACCTATATATTTTTTGCTAACCTACTTTAATTGGATTAACATTAACTCTTAGAAATCAATAACATATAATCTAATGTATATTCTGACATACTTTTGCGTAACCTAAATCCTCTGTTCCACCTACCTATTATAAATATAGCAACACTTAACCAGGATATTCATAAAAACTAAAGATACATAAAAATATAGCGAACAATTTGCAGCTAACTTTCTTGCACGATATCAAACCATGCAAGACTGCATATCCCATCCAAGTGAAGATCATTCATACGTGGAGACATTCATGAAAGACGTTGGAGAAGTGATGGAACTAATCCTATGTGATGCAAATGTAAGTTCAATGTTGTATACAGTTTTGTGAGTTTTATATATTTGTTTTTAAGATAAAAGGTAACCGATAAAATTCTATTTCTTTTTAAAGGGAACAAAAATCCATGCCTCATGTAACAAGACACACATTTCTGAATTGTCCAAACATATCCATGTTAGAGTATGGAGAAACATTGATCGTTCCAGTGTAAATGGTGTTGGTGGAGTGTACAGATCAACTGATCATAAGTATCAAATAGCTTTTAATGGTACCACCAAAATCTTGGATTCTGAACACCGAGATGACAACACGTTTCTTAATCTGGCTGATTTCAAAACTATAGAAAGTATGGATCTTGATCCAAACTTCCTGATTGGTAACACCAAAATATTTTGATTTAGATGTTATTGAACAAGTTCAAGACTTGGGTGATCTCAAAAACATTGGTTGTAATGGTGGAAAACAAAGGAATAGGTTGGAGTTTACATTCGTGGACATTTCGTAAGTCATGTATATTCAGTATTCATTAGTTTATATATATATGTGTGTGTGTGTGTGTGTGTGTGTGTGTGTGTGACAATTCTTTCAAATAGACCTTTTTAAGTTTCTATCATAAAAATAGACTTTAAAAACTAAAATGACTAAAATAGCATTTTTTATTTTAAAAATTTTAAGGCTTTTTTTTTAATTTTTAAAATTTGAAATCAGATCTCCAAAACCCCACTCCTCAACTCTAAACAAAGAGTCTAGGATTAGTTAATCCAAAGGGTATAAATACATATTTACTTATTTTTGATAAAACATTTAAGTCTATTTTGGTCTTTTTTTATTTTTACGGTCTATATTTGTGAAAAAAATCTTTTTAGATATCCTAGAGAAATTCTCATATTATATATATATATATATATATATATATATATATATATATATATATATATATATATGAGAATTTCTCTAGGATAGATCTAAAATGATTTTTTTTCACAAATATAGACCTTAAATATATATAAATATGTATGTATATATAGTCTATGAAATTATAGATGCATAAGTATATATTTAATGTTTTTAGTGGACAAAGATTTGCTTACTGTCTGTGGGAAAAATTTGCAGAAAATCTTCATACAGTTAACCATGAAATAAAAGGCATGGTAATATATCTTTTATGATTTGTTAAGATTAGGCGATATATCTTTTTTTTTTTTTTTTTTTGTCAACCGTCCATTTACTCTAGATCAAGTGGTAACCAGTCGAGTCGATTCTCCGAGGAGAAACTCCGTCTGGTCGGATCTGATCTATATGGGAAAATGAATAATCTCTACTCCTTGCTTCTTTAGCTAGTGCATCCGCTCGTCCGTTTCTACACCGCGGAATATGAGACATACTCACATCCTCGAAGTCCTCCTGTAGTCGCTGAAACACCTCGATCTCTGTAGCAAAAGCCGGCCAGTCTTCTGGTCTAATAGACATGTCCACTAGGTCCGAACAATCCGTCTCAATCCGTATTGAAGTCATCCTCAAATCTCTCATACATGAGACTGCCCACAGTAGGCCTTCCATCTCGGCATGCAAAGGTGATAGGCTCCTTCTACACGCCCGTAATCCAAACCATTCAGAACCCATTTGATCCTTGAGACTCCACCCTAAGCCACTGACACTACCATTATCGATCCATGATGCATCAATTTGGCATGTAGGGATTTGGGGGGTCCTAGGGGGCTCTGAACTAAGAGGTACCTCATGATCCTCATTTACTTCCTCCTTCTCGTTTGCCTTCCTCCAACATTCTGCCTCAAGAGACGCATGTTGAAGAGTGTCCATTGGAGATACGTCTTTCCCATTAAAGAGTTTGTCGTTCCTTGCCTTCCAAATATACCAACAGATCCATGGGAAGGTGTCGAATTGTGGTCTCCGAGGAGCCACTTCTTTTCGCTTCCAAAACAGAAAGTTCATGTTTTGGTAAATAGATATACTCGGGAAGTCACCCGGAATGGACGGATAGTCCGATAAAGCCCAAACCTGCATGGCAGGGGGGCACTCAAAAACAATATGGTTAGTCGACTCCACTGGGCAAGCACATCTAGGACAACTCCTATCGGTGCCCAGGTGTCTATAAGTTA